GCCCTAATTAGGGAGAGGAAATAATTAAGCAGCACGGGCGCGGGTAGAGCAAGCCTGGTGTGAGCCGGGAACGCTGCTGGGATCAGAACCAGGCTCCACCTCCGTGCCCGAGCAGCGCTGGACACTGATAACAACGGCGACAAGTTAAGAGCAAACTAATTACCAGGGAAACCACACACAACGATCAGCGCATCTATAGGATTTTATGTCTCCATAGAATACATAAAGTTAATGAGAACCCGATTGGTTACAGCATCCAAAGGAAGGGTACAAGTAGGACAGCATAAAAGTGTCAAGACCAGTAGTTTAAAAATTGTTTTCAATTCTTTTATCAAATAAGCATAGTAATAAGGGAGCTATTTTACAGAGAGTAAGCAGCAACGTACAATCTTGGTTTCCAGAAAGAGAAAAACATAATAGAAAGTGAAAATAAACCTCAGCTATCGACAGCCACCACTACTCTTCACATATTACTCTGTCCATAAGACACGGAAATCAAAACCTATCAGACTGACTGCTTCCACCGAAGGGAACTGTGCTGAATTTTCCATTAACAGAAAAATCAGTAGAAGAACAACTTTCTTCAAAGAAAGAACACCACCGGCCATTCATATTGCGTTCTAGGATGTAGTGATATTAAGGTTACACTGGAAGGACAAGTTCTCCAGGATTTAAAAAGAAAAAATTCTTAATTTGATTTGTATAGTTCGTTATATCCATTGTGCTCTTGAAACATTTATGTCGCAGGGATCTTCGGCAACCCAAATTCATCCACCAGTACGCCATCCTGTGAGAAAGAAAAAGCAGCAACAGGTTAAAAACCCTCCACCGACCAGAACACAAACGTTTACTTACAAATTCTGCAAAGCCATGTATCTGTAACTGTCACTATGTGACAGCTGGGATCAAAACAATAGCATCAGTGTTCTTTCTCACTATGAAGCTATATTAAAGGCCCAAATGCAGACACACAGAACGCTTTCCTACGTTTTCAAGAATAACTAAATTAGGAGTTGTAATGGTATACGCACAGTCTGACAATGTTAGACAGGAGTTACAAATGGCCATTTCAGCTCTTTAAAATACCATAAAAAGCATTCAGTACACTGTATATTATAAAGAACATTCAGTACACTGTATTCTCTCATACATAGCATCCAAAATACACCATATTCAAAATACAACCTTAAGCAGGTTTTTTTTTTGTTCAGACTATTAAGGATTTTAAATATCGAGCAACCAACACAAATGTGATTAATCTGAAATGAAACAAAACCAAACAAAGGATTTTTCTTTTAAAGAGGAAAGGAACTCACTTTGTTTTTCGTGTCAGTAGGAGTGACGTCTGGGATGGCTGGAGCAGACGCGGCTTCATCCAAGTAGGAATTGTCTTCATCAGCTAGAAGCTCATCACCCAGTGCATCCAGTTCTGAAATTGAATTATGTTGGTTGAAAAATTACGCAAGGAAATTCCTTTTGCAAAAGAAAAGTTGCTCTTACAGAGAAACAGGATTGATACTGAATGCTTGCATCCATACCCATTTAGCATTACTTAAGTCATCAGTCAGGAATACGCACACACACAACAGAGAGAACCTTCTTTCCTTCACTGCAGCATTCCATTAGTGTATCTATCTCACACGTCTGTCATATACTCTTGTTACAGCTCTTATAGAAAATGCAGCTTTTATGTTTAAAAAAAGTAATTAAAACTTTCTATTTAAAAACACGCTGAAAATATTTAACGAATTAAATTAAAAATCACCATATGACTGTATAATGATGTTTACATTGAATAGTGTAAACATCATCCTCCACCTTCCTCACCTGCTTCCAAGTCATCTTCATCAATCTCTGGTGTTCCATAGCTACGACTCAGTGCCTCCTGGACTTCATTGGCTTCTTCCATCATGTCTTCCAACTGATCTTGAATGTCCTGAAGCAAGAAACAATTTCAACTGGTCCATCTTTCATGGCTTTAGTTAAATTTATCAGAGCTTACTCAAATTAAGTTTAGCAATTCCAACAAACAAGTTTTAAAGCATAAATGAAGCAGCATTAATACAAGCCAGAAGACTAGCATTCGGTACTACAGGTTGGCCTTGATTACTATAAAAATTATAATAAACATATGAGGAAGAAGAAAGGAGCCTTGAAACAACATCTCTGCAAAATCCTTTTAGGTATTTTTAAGGGTAAATTGAAAACCTCTAAGAAATTACCCCAAATCCAACATTATCTTGAAAAGCAGAAAAGTGTGGAATCTAGAGAAATTAAATGTACCATCTGGAGAATAAGCACTAACCCATGTCGTGCCATGGCAAAATTAAGAAGATATTTTAGCACACTACTGGCACTGTACTTGGGGATAAGTAAGGAGACAATACTTGCCTAAAGGTTTACGATGCAGGCCATATATAAAAAAAGCATGGGAAAGAGAACTTAAAGGAATTCAGCCTGGGCATTTAGTAAGAGTTTAAGTGCAGCATGCTTAAAATTCTGCTTAGAGATCTTCCAGGTTTTTTTAATGTATTTTCTGAAGACAGGGCCAGGCCTTGCAGACCTCTTGAAATTGTTTGTTTGGGGTTTGATGGGGACTTTTTTTTGGTTTCTGTTTGGATTTGGGGTTTTGTTGTTGCTGTTGTTGTTGATTGGGGTTTTTTTGTTTGTCAGTTTTTTATTCAGGCACTACTTTGAACTGGGGAAGCAAAGGACTAGTCTGCATGTTGCAACTGCAGCAGGGAGGACATGACAAAAAAGCTAGAGCAGGAAGTATTCACCAACGTTCACACTGATGTGCCAAGGAAAGGGAGAGATTAAAGATTAGCCCAGCAAGGAAACAACAATCAGTACAAGATGGCAAATAACTGATTTTGCAGTACCAGAGAAATCAGGAAGGAATTATGATGCTGGTCCCACAAAAAAGGGAGTCAACCTCATCTCAACTAAACCAGTCAGTTTACCTTTAGGTTACACAGCCCACTCATCACTATTTCAGTATGTTATTTCTGTTCTCTAACAATTTGAACTATAGAAACTCACCTCTATTTGATCAATTTTGACTTGCTTGTAAGCTTTCTTCATTTCTTTCACCCCCAGTTTCATTGCATCAACCTAGAATAGAGTCAAACAACAAGCTTGTATCTGATGGAGCATACACAAATTAAAGAAATGGAAGATTAATATACTGGTACCGTTGTCTTTGTGTCCTTCAGTGCCTGAATAGTGTAATTAGCTTGTTCCATATTAAAAGACTGCTGTGATAGATTATCCCTCTGTTGTTCATACCTGTTAGAAACAATACAAATAATGGTTTTAAAACACCACACTATTCATTGCTGCAGAAATTCTTAATTTTTAAAAAAATTAAAAAATCAGTGACTGTAAATAGGGGAACAACTAGCATGTAAGATTAGCAGACAGCATAGTCAAAAAAGAGACAGAAAACCTAAAACCAAACAGTCCTTCTCACAATATCTAACTAAACTACCGCATTCCTTAACATAGGATATTTTAGATGGTAAGAGTTCACAGGTATTTTGGATGGTAGGAGTTTGTGGAGATTAACGCCACGGACCCAGAGCATCTTCATGCAGAGAATCACCTTATTGCCTACTGCTGTTAACTTTTTATACCATTCTAACAACAGTTATTTTTAGCCTATTGCTCTAGCTTTTATACCATTCTGTTTGTAGCCTATCATGTTTAGTTCCTGACTTATAGTTTGTTTTTTAACACTGCTCGCTGTCTCACAACCAGCCCCAGAATAGACAGTCTCTTTATGCTCTTTCCTTCTCAGCCAGGTGTCTTGGTATCTTACGCTCTCTTCTCCTCAGCCAGCTGGGTTGCTCTGCTTAATTGCACAATGTACTTTGTTTCTTCTTTAACTCTTTCTTCTCCAGCCAAGCAGTTACTTCTCTTTGGCAATAATCAAATAGTTTCCACTGTCTCCCACAGGAGTTCACAAATGCTTGCCATGTTCTGACATTCTCTCCTTTCTATTTGTTGCTGGACACTTTCCAGGACACTATACTAGACTAGACCAGACCATACCACAGGATCATCTCTCCTGTCCATTCTGGTTTTTTGCATAGACACAGGTACCTGGCGCTACATGTGCTCAAGTACTAAAGGGTGTTCACAGAGAACAGGTAGATTTCCAGTAAACCAGTCAAAGATAATTAAGTACACAATTCATACTAATCAATTAATAATAGAAAATGAGGCATTCTCAGAAAGTTTAGGAGTCAAGCATAGCTTTAATAATGAGCAGATTTAGGCCAGCTTGCCCCGTCCAAATTTATAACTCGTATACAAATAAGGCACAAATATGCTGACGCCAAATCTGTAAGGAGATGTTTCTGAAAGGCTGGCTAGCCTGTTCAGCATTTTTCCTTAAAGAATGCTCAGAAGCAAGAGTACTGGAAAGAGAAAGGAAAGTGTGCCTCCCACCTTAAGAAAAACAGGCTTTCATTCATCCCAAACTGAAAAAGGTTTAAACTTACATTCGCTTCTGCTTTAACACTCTCAATGCTTTCTGCTTTACTGTGTTCTGAAAGACAAAATATTGTTACATTAGGAGAAATATTTGACTTTACTCTTGATTATACTGTTTAAACCTAACGTATGACATTGAAGTTTTCCAGAAGATTGCTCAGTTACTAGTGCAAAGAGTTTAACAATAGTCACGTTCATCATTTGTCCCACATTAATGATTAACCAAACAGGCTTGTATGTAAAGCTTCTAATAAAAATACTTTCAACATTTCTGGCTTTTGAATTCTTTTTTTGGTAAGCAGAACACAAAGTCAAACTTAGTCCATCAGAACCATCTTTCACCAACACATTTTAATGGTCAGCATCAAATAATACTGAAAAAGATACTTTTAACAATACTGTTTATATATGTTTACTATTATTATTATACATTTTATATTACATGTTCATACCCTTTCAGAAATGGGTTTTCCTATTCCCTTTCTGCCTAGTGCACACCTTTCTACTTTAGCTGTTGAACAAAACAGCCTTTCTAACAGACTTAGTTCAGGCAACGAAGGAAGAAGGGAAGCAAGTTACTTCAGATTGAGGAATTACATTACATTTTTGAATAAATAAAAAACAATGAAAACACTGTTCAAAAATGCACATCTAATAATAATCCTGTAGGATCTTACAATCTTACATCTCATTAGTACAGCAAGGTGCAATTCCTAAGAACCTGATGAACTGGCTAAATTATTCCACTACATGACATGAAGTGTGAGTCACATCCTCTTAAGCTTAAATCCCACAGAAGATTCTTACCTTTGCAGGCCCCTCTCTCATCTTCTTCATTTGATCCTTGTACTTCACGAGTTCTGCATCAAGCCTAGCAATTTTCTTGTCAATTGACTCAGCTCTGCTATCCACCTTTAACACGTGACAAGGAAAACAAACAAAAAAAACCCCATTAATTAAGGTTTTATTCAGGAATTGGACAATAAGAGAACAGCCTCAGTTTTATTATGCTTCTAACTGAATTGTTTCCTTGCTCAGTGGTATTATAAACAGTTTATGAAGTTTGTAGAGAATCCAAAACCAGAATCAAATGAAACAACTTCTAGAAAAAGAGAGCACAAGAAACTTCCTTAAGTTGCAGTAAGCTCTGCCATTGTAATGTTCTCACATTTTGACATACTCCCTTGCACACCCACTGATGTCACAGTCTCCATTCAGGAATTTCTGATAACATACGGTGCCAGGGACTAAACTGAAACAGAAAAAAACAAGCTGGCAGACAAAGGGGAAATGCAGAAGAGACAGGGATGCTTTCAGCAAGGCTAGAGGTTTATTTTTGGTGGGCAGAGAACATTAACCCCTCAGAATGATGCCTGGATTACTGGTTACATTTAAGAAGTCCAGACTTTTCCAAAGGTCTTCTAACTTCTTTGTCAGAAAGACACTTTTCCCATCACTTCCAACAAAGGAGCCAGGACACAGCAATTCCACCTGGCAGCTACTCTGAATTCTTACTGCATTTTTGCTTCTAATCCCAACAGTAGCTGCACAGCTCAGTAAGAAACCTCCAGCAGTCAGCCCTAACAGCCCTGGTGCAAAGCATGACAGAGCTGTCATTATGGAAGTATTTTAACCCTTCTGCGTAAGAGGGTTACAGATGATAACTACAGAGCCAAGCATGGTATGGCCATCTAACAGCAGAGACAAACTGGTAAAGAAACCCCAAGCAAACAAACAAAAAAGCCAAAAAAAGCCTCCTTAACAGGAACCAACTATCACAGCATTTCTTGGGAAACGACAAAATAAAGCTTCTTAACTGCTCACGGAGCCTCTCTAGGGATTAGCATATAATGACATTCCAATTACAGTGTGAGACCAATCAGTGCAAATTTACAATTCTGACTTGATAGTACTGTGGCTAAACAAGTATCATTATGCAGATTTTCATTTGGGTGTCTCAATGATCCTTTCAAATCTCTGCTCTCCAACAGCAACATGCATTTGCCAGAGGCATCCTGAGCAGAACATTTGATATGAACACTCTACACAAGACATTAAGGTGTCTGGGCACAGCTGGCGTTGAGAACAATTGTGTTAAGCTTTCTATTATGTCAAATATTGTAGTAATAGCAAGAAAAAGATATACTTGCAATTTTAAAACTCTCTGTAGGTTCAAAGCATAGCCATTCCTCGAGATCCTCATCAGCTAAATGCATCTTTGAGGTCAGCCCCCTCTCCAGGGGAAAGCCAGTTATTTGATTTATTTATATAATGATTCTTTTAAGCAGTACTAGTTGGAAATGGAGACAGATCCTCCTATATCAATTAACTGGATAAGTATTTCACATACTGTCCTGGGTTCAGCTACAGCAGTCATTTTTTCTCCTTCTTAGTAGCTGGTGCAGTGCTGTGTTTTTGACTTTCAGCCTGGGAACAACGCTGGTAACACCGATGGTTTTAGTTGTTGCTCAGTAATGTTTTCTCCAACCAAGGACTTTTCTCAGTCTCATGCTCTGCCAGAGAGGAGGGGAAGCCAGGAGGAAGCAGAGACAGGACGCCTGACCCAAACTGGCCAAAGGGGTATTCCATACCACAGCACGTCATGCCCAGTATAGAAACTGGGGGGAGTTACCCGGAAGGCCCAGATCGCTGCTCGGGTCGGGCTGGGTATCGGGCGGCGGGTGGTGAGCGGTTGTGGCCTTTTCCCTTGTTATTCCCCTTATCATTATTATTGGTAGCAGTAGTGGTTTGTATTATACCTTAGTTACTGGAGAGCTGTTATCTCAACCCGTGGGAGTTACATTCCTTCGATTCTCCGCCTCATCCCTCCGGGAGCGGGGGGAGGGAGGAAAAGGGGGGGAGGGAGCGAGCGGCTGCGTGGTTCTGAGTTGCCGGCTGGGCTTAAACCACGACACACACATTACACAGGACCTCAGATTTTAAAAATGAAAATGAACAGAAAATGGGAGAATGGATCTAATTTATCAAAAAGAAAACTTAGACTGTGTATTACAACCTGAAGAGCTGCTTTCTTTTACGCACAGGTAAGGCATGCCAACATACGTTCCATTGCTACAGAAGGGCCCCAATCTAAACAAAAGAAAGTGATAGTGGTATCCCAAATCCCTATGAACCAAAATTGCAGTTTATTTCAATAAATAACAATAATTAAAAAAAACCCATCACATATAAGGTTGAATTTTACACTGTTGTCACAACTATCAGCTGATTGTTCCTATGTTCCCTACTTACTGTCTGACAAAAATAACATAAAATTGGGGCGTTTTTTCAAAGAAGAAAATGTAAAACCAATATAAATGCCACAGCTCCTGATGCATCCTTCCTCCTACCGTCCTCATGACAGCTTTGAGTCATCTGACTGTGCTCAGCCAGCAAGGATTAAAAAAGTCTGCCACTTGGTGCAATGCTGAGGCAGGCACAGCGAGAGAGTGGGCAGAAACTGCAAGGGGAAATGGGGACATACCCATGGGGACTAAGTGGGGAGACAGGAAGGCACCACACAGCCCCCTATCAAACCAGCCACCGAAGCAAAGCAGGGAGAAGTGTTTCCTGAGCTTTAGTAAACACTTCAGATTAGTGATCCCACAGAACCAGCTCTTTAAATGTGAAAACCTTGAATTGTTTAGGTATCTTAAGGAGACACTTATTATTCTCTTACAACAGGAAGGAAAAAGCATATTGTGTGCTGATCTTATTGGGTTCAGTCATACTGCTTTTGCATACACAGGGAACAACACCCAAAACACAGGCACAGAGTTGTCTCTGCTTTTAGTAATCAGTAACTACGAACATTAAGCAGTGCTCGCCAAATACAGTAATTTCTACCTGCCATTTCATGGCTTATTACCATTTAAGTAACAGGGTAAGATAGTTTACAAAGCTTGTAATATTTTGTACAATACAGTAAAGTTTGACTCTTTCAAAAGGTACAACAAAATGTGTCTGAGATTGAAAACAACACAGAAGTGACACTGCTTGGGTCTCCAAACTGCAGAATTTAACACGGTAAAGAAACAGTGCAAGTTTATTTAATGTCTCACACAACTCTCTTCAATAATAATCCACATGCAATTTAAGAAAAATATCTAATGATATCTCTAGTCCTTTAGCAGGACCTGTACTAGAGACTTCACTGTTGTGAAAATGAACTGAAGGTGCAGCAAGCCTTTCACAAATCAGATTGATTACTTCATGTAAATTGGCTCAAAAAGTTAATTCATCAACTCTGAATTTGTAAAAGTATGTTTCTCCCCACACTTAGTAGTGTACAGCTTACACTGCTGAGGTGGCAAATTTAAGTATTAACAACAGCATCTTGGGTGGATTTTGGAGTTGTAGCCATCCACTAAAGCATTTCCTGGTTACAGTGGGAAAGCTCATCCTGCTTTTTGAGCACATGCTTTATTTACTGTTCTAACTAAACAAACTTGGAGCTACGTTTGGGCTTAATACCACTAAAAAGCAACATGGATTCTTCGCCAATAATGTACTGGGAAAAACACTATGACCCCTTCTCTCCCTGTCCCAGCCACTGGCATATGCAAGAGGCTGATGTGCACATGTTTGTCCAGGTAGCACTGACAAAAATCAGATGTTTGACTCAGGGGGTGTCTTCACTGGGTAGCAAAATTAATCTTCCGGGAGGAAAATCATGATTTTCCACAGAAACTTCCTGTTGTCAGGTTCCAGTGACAATACTAGGTTTGCCTTAGTCAACCTCCATTTAAACCACAATCCTTACCAACCTTTCACCTGACTTTGCTAACCACTGAAACAAATACTCAAGACCTCTGTGTTCTTTCTTCACCTTTCAAAATGAGTTTACAACAGGAGGAGCTGTAAAAACACACCACAGTTTTCGTCACAAGCTTAAAAGTCAGGAAAAGGCTGTGAAATTACAAGACTAGCCTTCTTAAAGCTGTCCTTTAACGTTCTTTTCAGGCAGGCCAACCCTACAGGAGCTGTAGCATTCTACCACGTTTCTTCAGCATTTCCTTCTTGGTCTGTGTTTAACTGTCCCTCTACACACATCTTTGCCACCGACCCCACAGCAAGCTCATGCACAGCAGACAGAACAATCTCCATCAGGCAGTGGGATCTGCCCTCCCACCTCTTAGCGGGGACAGAGGGACTGGTTTCCTTGCTCTGGTCCCTGCCTTCCCACAGCTTGGCATAGTGGGAGTTAGCTAGTGCAGTCAGGGCAGAAGTCCTTGGAGGAAAATACTGAAAACAGCCATGAGGATGAAAGGGGAGTCAGGCCTTATATGCACATTGTGTGCATCCATTTACAGGATGTGCTCCTGCTTACAGGAAACAAATACAGGCATGGGTGTACATGCGTACAAATGTTATGTACTGGTGTACATGCTGTGCACACTAAAACACAACTGTGCAGCGGAAGAGTTGATCTGCTGAAGGATAGGAAGCCTCTGCAGAGGGATCTGGATAGGCCGGATTGATGGGCTGTGGCCGGTGGTGTGAGGTTCAA